AGCAAACAGTGGCATGAACATCCTGCCATAGTTACGTCCTACTTAAAGTCGATGTTAATCTTTGTGAAACACCCCCCTGTTTTGACAAGAAGATAACATAATTACCGAGATGGGCATGTTGACTGCGATGTACGCCTATATGACTTATGGAAAAGCAATATAAACTCTTGCCATTCGAAATAAGCCTGATGATTTTATCCTTGAAAAAAAAACTGTTTCGAAATTTGTTTCTTTAATTGACGTGAATTGAATCTCGGGATTGAATCAGTCTGTAAAATATCGGCAGAATATCGCGAGAACTTAAAATCGCGAGGTCCAGTCCAGCCTGCTCAAACGATTAAAATTCGCGGTGTTTGTAAAAGAGCCCCCTTTTTATTTCAAAGACACATGCCAACAACCACGGCAATAGCTCGAAATACACAGCCGCTTGTGCCGGGCGTTTAATAGAGGTCACTTTTAACAAGTGTATAAACCTATATCGGTTACGATTAGTTATAGGTGAATGCATATAATATCAAGAGTAAGACGATAATCACGTACATCATATAATTGGGTATAGATAAAATAGTAAAAGAAAAACGAAACCCACTTACATCGCGTAACGTGTGACACTTTTGCAGCAGAAATAGTTCCAATCAGATATTGAGGCACGATCTTAGTAACGTTTATATTTTATGAGGCAATTGAAAAGGGTTAATTGAAAAACAGATTTTTATGTCTTTACGCCATAGTGTCCAATTCATATGATGATTTGAGTAAGGGGGGTATCTCACTGAACGGCGAGTGCTTGCGAACGTAGCGAATTTGGGTTTCGCCAGGGTTCATAAAAGGTTGCAAAAGTTTCGTTGGACTTAGATATGGCAGTGTTTGTAAACGAGCCCCCTTTTTATTTCAAAGACACATGCCAACAACAACGGCAATAGCTCGAAATACATAGCCGCTTGTGCAGGGGCGTACGCATGGGGGGGGGGGGGGGTTTGGGGGTTCAACCCCCCCCCCTTTGGTATTTTTATGTGTGTAAACCCCCCAAAAAACTAAACCCCCCCCCTTTGTTTTTATTTTTTTTTTTTTTTTTTTTTTTTAATTATAAAACAAAACAAAACAAAAAAAAAATTATGCCGAAGCTAACGTAAAGTGACCTCCCCCCCCCCCCCCCCCCAGCGACTTTTCGGTTGGCTGAGTCGTAGCGATTTTTTTGTTGGACTACCAAAAACAAAAAAAAGTGTCCGCTTACCCCAAAATATTTTGGGCCAGATTTTAAACCCCCCCCCCCCCCCCCTTGAAAAAAATCCTGCGTACGCCCCTGCGCTTTTGCCGGGCGTTTAATAGAGGTCACTTTTAACAAGTGTATTAACAGGACCAACAGGATTTTGTCGATCTAACCTATATCGGTTACAATTAGTTATAGGTGAATACATATAATATTAAGAGTAAGACGATGATCACGTACATCATATAATTGGGTATAGATAAAATTGTAAAAGAAAAACGAAACCCACTTACATCGCGTAACGTGTGACACTTTTGCAGCAGAAATAGTTCCAATCAGATATTGAGGCACGATCTTAGTAACGTTTATATTTTATGAGGCAATTGAATAGGGTTAATTGAAAAACAGATTTTTATGTCTTTACGCCATAGTGTCCAATTCATATGATGATTTGAGTAAGGGGGTATCTCACTGAACGGCGAGTGCTTGCGAACGTAGTAGCGAATTTGGGTTTCGCCAGGGTTCATTAAAGGTTGCAAAAGTTCCGTTGGACTTAGATATGGCAGTGTTTGTAAAAGAGCCCCCTTTTTATTTCAAAGACACATGCCAACAACAACGGCAATAGCTCGAAATACACAGCCGCTTGTGCAGGGGCGTACGCAGGGGGGGGGGGGGGGGGTTGGGGGTTCAACCCCCCCCTTTGGTATTTTTATGTGTGTAAACCCCCCAAAAAAACTAAAACCCCCCCCTTTGTTTTTATTTTTGTTTTTTTGTTTTTTTTTAATTATAAAACAAACAAAAAAAAAAAAAAATTATGCCAAAGCTAACGTAAAGTGACCTCCCCCCCCCCCCCCCAGCGACTTTTCGGTTGGCTGAGTCGTAGCGATTTTTTTTTGGACTACAAAAACAAACAAAAAGTGTCCGCTTACCCCAAAATATTTTGGGCCAGATTTTAAACCCCCCCCCCCCCCTTGAAAAAAATCCTGCGTACGCCCCTGCGCTTTTGCCGGGCGTTTAATAGAGGTCACTTTTAACAAGTGTATTAACAGGACCAACAGGATTTTGTCGATCTAACCTATATCGGTTACAATTAGTTATAGGTGAATACATATAATATTAAGAGTAAGACGATGATCACGTACATCATATAATTGGGTATAGATAAAATAGTAAAAGAAAAACGAAACCCACTTACATCGCGTAACGTGTGACACTTTTGCAGCAGAAATAGTTCCAATCAGATATTGAGGCACGATCTTAGTAACGTTTATATTTTATGAGGCAATTTAATAGGGTTAATTGAAAAACAGATTTTGATGTCTTTACGTCATAGTGTCCAATTTATATTATTATTTGAGTATCAAAAGGGGGTATCTTACTGAACGACGAGTGCTTGCGAACGTAGCGAATTTGGGTTTCACCAGGGTTTGTTAAAGGTTGCAAAAGTTTCGTAATTAGGGACTTTTAGATTTGCGTGGACTGATACATGTGACGTCCATTCAAGGCAGTGTATTAAAAGGACGTCGATCGTAGCAATCCACGTTGTCGTTGTGCAAATCTAAAAGTCCCTAATGATTGCAAGAGCGATCGCCAACCCTTTTCATTGTCCTAAACAGTTTTTCTTGTCGCAAAGAAATTCTGAACATGTTCACTATTTCTTTGAGAATTTATTTGTCCGCAAAGAGTTGCAAGCGTTTGCAAAGCAGTCGTAAGCCTTTGTAAATGGTTGTAAGTTGGTGTTGCTGAAGTCCATTTTGATTCGCAAATGCTAGCGACAACGTGACCATATGGCACCAATATACAATTGACCCATTGAGTACCAGGAGTTGGCAAAAAGTCTAAAAAATTCACAAATATTGGCACAGGATTGACAAATCGGTGGTAATCTTCGCAAAACTGCCGCTAACATGTGTTTACAGTTGCTAATAGTTGCCAACTGCCTTTCGCAAACAGTTTCGCAAACATTCCCTCAAATGTTGGTAATTGTCGCTAAACATCGCTAAATGTCGCAAAGGCGAATCCTGATTTTTGCAAACATTCGTCAGAAAAGTTGGCGAATCTAAATTCGCAACGTTCGTAAGCATTCACCGCTCAGTGCGATACGGGGGGGGGGGGTGGGGGGGATACTCACATAATTCAGACATACGGAGATGGCCTCCCTAATGAGTAAACTTTTCACAAAATATCCCTAAATATGGGTCCTATTTTTAACAAAAATACCCTTTAAAATGGGTCCTTTTTTTCAAAATTTCAAAATTTCAAAATTTATAAGAAATGGCACGATGCTTGTAGATAATGTTAACACAAACATCGTAGCCCGTACCCTCCTACGATGCGCAAAAAAATCGTAGACCAATTATCGCACGGTGCCCGAAGTAAATGTAAACTACCCATAAGTTGGTGCTGTTCTGGTGTGAAGGTTTCGCATACCAGTAAATAAAATTAATAATTAAAATAAAACTATATTTTAGTACATTATGCACATATTTTTTAATAAATGAGTAACAATTTTACCCTATTATATATGTTACATTTAAAAAGTCTTTCCAATTAAGTCTGGGGCATGATACATGTACAACTCTACCTGGTAGTTTGGTACGTCACATTTAAAGGCATTACATCATGCTAAAGGCATAACATCATGCTAAAGGCATTTATACATCAGGCCAAGAAATCTCCATTTATAAATCTCTTGTACACTTTCGTAAGATTTATTGTACACTGTTGCTCATGATATGAAATTTGATAAGGCTAACCGTGTTGGTGAATTTGACCACCAGTCAAAAGTGTGTTGACCTTTCAACGTTTTTTACCATAGCGCCCTCATTTAAGGTCGGAGGTATAACAAACTATACATTTTTGGAATTATCATGGCCAGACGAGTAATTGGATATGCATATCGACATGATTGGAATATATTTGGATTTCTACCCCTGTTTGACCTTTGTTGACCCCTCACGAAAATGTCTGGGATTTTCAATGGGGCAGCCCAAGTCAAAATTGTTCGGTATTCATCAGGGAACACAAAAACACTTTCAAACCTTTGTTCACAGAGATTGGTCACGGGACCTACAAGTTGGTCTCCTACTATAAACACCTGAAACACAGATAAACTGTGTCTTCTATAAAAAAAGTAAAAAATATTAAAAAAACACCCCTTTTTTGCCAGGGGGGGGGGGGGGGAGGGCAGTGTTTGAACACCTAATACCCCCACCCCCTCCTCTATTTTGGAAGACGCTCCGCCGCCCTTGCATTATGCTAACTTGGTGGTGATGCAGATTTTGTTCCTGTACTGGAACTGGGACAAAGTTTATTATTAATATTATAAAGAACTATATCATGATTATTCTATTCATCGTAACAAACCAACGAATGGAAAGAAGAAAACAAATTAAACGTCTTGATAAAGACTATAGCCTTAATTTTCTTTACCACGATATTTACTCTTTGGCTATTTATCTAGGCAACAACATCACGCATGTCTAGGTCACACACAGGAGAATCGCGAAAGAATATATTTGGCCTTTCCCCTCAATGTTTGTGTCAGCCGTGCCCTTTCGGCCCACATCTCGCTGCTAGCCAGAAGGTACATGTGATAAAGTACTTCATGTACATGTAGCATTGGATGTCCACTCCGCGGTTCTGCCATCAATGCACGTAGCGTAAATAGCCTGTACGTGGGCATTGTACCCGTAGGATGGTGTAGCATGTTTTTCACGACGCTGCGCGATTCACATGATTGCACATATATTCATATATATATATATATATTATATGTCATATTCTCGAGTTGAAACTCAGTAGTCGCAGCAGAGAACTGACAGTGAGTAAAATGATGCAACGTCTTACTGAGATAGAATGGACAAGCTTGACGCAGTACTATACGCTACTAATACCCACCTCTTATCTTCGGGAGCATGCATGTTACTTGTAAGCTTTACTTCATCGTGGAGAGTTTGAAGCATCTCTATAAGTGTCGTTACTTATGATAAAACAATGACGAACAAGTCCGACTCGGTGGATGGAGGCTGGGCCTGGTGTGTTCTTCTTGCAACTTTCACAAATCAGCTACTCTATGCTGGAGCTGTCCCTTTAGTTGGGATATACTTGGTTGAATGGCAGGAATATTTTGGAGTTGGAGCAGGGTCTTTATCTTTCATTGCCACTGAACTTACCTTGGGTTTACCTGCCATTGGTAATTATTATTAGTCCTCTTTCCTCAATGAGTATTAATATATTCATGTAAAACTGAAACTTATCTATTTAAAGATGTGATCATGTACTTCAAGCAAGATCTTAGTGAATTTACATAAACGCTTCTTTCAGATCCAACTCACCACGCTATGAACAAATGGATATCGCCAATGAGAATGTATTTGACTTGCACTAGCTTTCTATCATTTTAGTAATAAATCGAAGTTTGGCTTTTGGAATTAGATATTATATTATAGTATTTCAAGGTCCATAACCGATTTCCACACATAAGTTGCGATGTTTATTGGGGAACAAAAACATAAATTGAAATTGCATCTTGGATGGCGGTCTTGCAAACTTTCGTGTTAATCAGGCCAAATACCTTAAATATATATATATACACCTGTATAATATAAATATATATATGTACAGTGCGTATACAAAAAGGTACACAACTGTGGTAGCTTAATAGTTATAACCTTTGTGACCTTGAATCATATTTTATTGTAAAGAAAATCCAATACCCTATATTGTCATTATTGTGCTGCCAACTTATCAAGGATGACTTAACAGCAGGCTTTTCAGAAAGTATTGTCAAAATCCTCCTCGGCTTAACTGCAGAATACTCCGCAGTGCCCGCACATTTGAGCCGCAAATAAGAAGAGTCTAGCTAGCTAGCTAAACCTGTGCATGCTCACATTCTTACCGTTAGGGTTAGTGATAGGGTTATAATAATCATGCAAACCCATTTCAACACCCCATCGTTTGCTCAATCGGTAAGGACAGTGTACGTTTGAGTGTGGGTTCGAATCCCAAGATTTATTCAGTTCTGATTTGTTTTCCTTTTTAAATAATATTGAGGCAAAGCGATGAATGATCAAAGTGTAATTGTTTGTGACCTCTTTCAAAGCTGTTAATGACGTGTAATAAATAATAATAATAATATTTAATTTTGATATAGCGCTTAATACAAATGTCTCTAAGCGCTTTACAAATATATTATTACCCCGGTCATTAGATTCAGTGCTTACCCGCACACAATGTGTGCACAATCTCCACTCCCTGGGGAGCATTCCAGCCAGGCATCACACATATCAGCCAACCTAGCTAGCTGGACTCTTCTTGATTGGTGACTCCAATGTGCGGGGTCGTCTGCAATTGTTCCATTCCAATTGGTCCACCTGTACCAAGTTTTGGCTGAAGCAATGAATGTGGGTCACAAACCATTGTGTGTGTGTTATCGCATTCCGAAACAATTGCTCATTTAATTATTTATATTGACCTTTATGGGCACTTCATACTCACGAAAATGCTTATCACAAGCAAAATTTATGATATTCTTTTCGTTATGATGATTACAATCTTGACTTCATTAGCATCCCTTGTTTAATGTCACGTTCTCATGTCGTGATACCAAATCAATAAATTTTATTTGGGATGTTATCTTTTTACATGAAAGTCCGCTGTCAATTTCTTTGATATTTATCATCATATGTGTCCTTTCCCGGGGGGGGGGGGGGGCGGTACTCACATATTAAATGGACTTTGTAACATTGTTCAGATGAGAGATAGTGGTGCTAAGGTAATGACTTCAATGCTAGATGTACAATTAAAGGTAATCTGAAAAATTGAGTGCAAACGGATCATTATTCATGGTACAAATTGGGAAAAACTGATCTGATCGATTCCTTAATTCTCCCAACTGTTTTACTACAATTTAATTACATTTTAGGTGAATGGAAATCTCACAAAGCAATAAAATGGCTCTACATTCCATTCCAGACATTTAAGTGTTGACAGATTTTTTATAGCCTGTTTTATGTCTTTTTTCATGGAAATACGGTTGGGAAAATTCAAAAATGGTTGGGAGAATTTACTATCAATCACTGTTAGAGAGTGTCGTACATCGACGCCTTCAAGGAAAACCATAGATATCTTCGCGGTTTGAGAATTTTCAGGATTTTTTGCATGTCAGAGGTTAAGTACAGTAGAAGGAATATAGTAAGTAACATTTTATACAAAAATCAAGCAATTTTTTCATCAACCTTCAACAATAATGGGTCACTTTTTCACAAAAAAATCCCTGAACTTGGGTCCCACTTTTAACAAAAATACCATTTAAAATGGGTTCGTTTTTTCAAAATTGTCAGGTGTTTGCATAGCATGGTATTGCATGGCAAACACCCGAGAAAAAAACCTAACATTGTAAAAAAATTGTTCTTTTTTCCGAGAAAAAGCCCCAAAATGAACCTTAATATTGAATAGGGGTTTCAAAGCTTGAGCGGAACAACCCCGTCCAAACCAAATCTGAGTATCCCCCGGGGTCTTTCTTGCATTTGGATTCTGAGTTTTCATTCGTTATTCGAGATAAACACCTTCTGCTCCTGACGCGTGTAAAATGGCGCAGTAGACAAGTGAGAAGAAAAAACTTAGATATTATAAAACAAGAAGTTAGTAGACTGTCTAAAATAAGTAAAGGTTATGCTGTTGATTGAAACAACGTTCTGTCAAAGCCTAGATACATTTCACCATTATAAACGATGAAGCAGGAGGCATAATTTAACATTGAACAAAATTTAAGACCAAAGAAGCACATGCATATGACCTGACCCACATCGGTTCCATAAGCCCAAACTTGGAAAAAGGCGATTTTGACAACACTTTTTAACGATCCCGGTGCTCAGTCACCAGTGGCAGAAATAGTATGAAGAGGGTAGCATTGGACACACACACAAAGGTTTGTCTTCGTCATGAAATCAATTCCAAAGACAAATTGGTTATGACTTTTCAATTAGAAGCTACGAAAGTTGGGTACACCTTTTTGGTACGCACTGTATATATTAATCGAAGAAGGTCAAAGTACCAGCTCGCTTGTTGAGCAAATATTATATTTTAACAAAGGAAATCACTATTGATTGATACAAGTCTTACAAGATCAACATTGGGAAGCAAGATTTTGATTAGAACTAGGAGAACCTCAAACACGTAACGATGGTCATTTCAGAATCTATCATGCGCAAGAGATAAAACCTTCATTTCAATTCATTCATTCATTCTCATTTCATTTTTGTATATATATGCATTTCCAACAAAACACATTAATGCAAATATCACAATAAATACTAGGCTATGCACAAATGATGAAAAAAAGAGTATAAAAACGAATTAAACTTGATCTATAGTCTGTAGAGATGGAGAGGTTCGCTAAAATGCAGAGCTTGTAAGTTGTGGAATCTCAGATAAAAACAGCTAAGAAAGCTTAAAGAGAAGGTTAAACTCTGGGGAGAGATAACAAATAAGCTGTGAGCTTTTTCATTTTCATCTGAGAAAAGTTGTTCCTGAAAAGCATGGCCATTTAAATGCCTTCATACTAAACATATCATATGTATCATCTTAAAAATATGGACCACATTATTGTGCCACATGTTTGTGAAGTCCCATATACATATTTCTGTGTACAGTGCATTCGATTTTTACTAAGACTGGGTCAAATATCATATCATTTTGATGATTCAAAAATCTCGCCGTATACACCAATCCTTATGTCGCTCTATGATCACCCTTTTCCGATCGCTTCCACGCCGTTTCTTTCACAATGCAATCGCATGACCAGAACTCAACTTTATAAAACAAACAAAAGAATGATAGTGGCAAACAGAAACAACAGAATCTGGAAACATCGTAAGGCACACAATAAATTGACGAAGAAAGAATAAATTGAGTGAAGTGGGGAAAGGGGGGGGGGGGTGTGGAATGAAATATGGACTGCATATCGTGGCGGGAAACGGGGTTTCAAATAAAATGAAATGCACAAATCTTTGTTAAGTGCCATATTACAAAATATTGCATTCATCTGCTATGAATAACTGTATTTCAATAGTCAGAATGCGTACTGCATACATTAATTGTTGCTAGGTAGGACACACATTATGGTGGTGCCGCTTTTCCTAGCTAACAACACGAAAATGGCCGATTAGAATCAAAGTTGTCTGAGACTCTGTTGAACCATGGACCTATTACGGATGGACATTCATCGTTTTCTTAACGAATTCATTGTGATTGTCTCCATCAATGTCGTCTCAATAACATTCCGTACATATTCCTTCACTTTGATCTCATGATGGTCACCGCCAAAAAGCCGGGACAGAATCAAGATAGTGATTTTACACATGGTAATCTACATGCGCAGAAGATAATAACTCGCCTAAATCATGGAAAAATAGATGTGCAGTCCTGGCTTATAAACGGAAATTGATGTTCCGTGTACTGTACATGTATCTCATTTTGAAAAACATATTAATATTACCAGATAGAGGTTATTTTTGGATTTTGGGGTTGTGATTTAAAATTCCCCTATTTCCTCATAATATTCCAGAGTTACAACGCACAGGGCTGATACAGAGCATGGCCTTCTAATTGTTTTGTAAGGTCATAGGTGTGTGCAAAAGTTTGCGAATCAGTAATAATACATTTCATATCACCAAAATCGTCTGCTTTTCAACTTTGCTGCTCCCCATTGGGGATACTTTTATTTAAGACACACTCTTACAGAGCACACCATCCAAACAAAACCCAAGAGGGGGAAACTGCTCCTTTGTCAATGACCGAAATTGCTTACGCAGTCGTTATTGTTTAAACAGCTGAATGTTCTCATTAAGATGCACATAATCAGAAGACGGCGACTATCATTGGATCAAAGAAAGAATCACGTTGAATGTCCATCCGTAATAGGTCCATGGTTGAACAGTGTATTCGTAGTCTGTGGCTAAACCAACACTAAATATGACCCTTTGTGTTTAGGGTTAGTGTGTTTGAATTTTAGGATTTAGGTTAGGGGTTACATTTAGGGTTAGAATTAGGTTTAGTTTTGATCAGAAGAATTGGATACAGACCCAATAGATCGTAAGATCTGAAGGATGTAGGAATTAAGAGATAGAACCTTGGTATTACCTCGTAAGATGTAAGAATCAAATAGCGGAATGCCTGGTAGTGAATGATTTACAAGAGGGCATCACAATCACACACTCTTTCCCAAAGATGAATTGCCATTATCGTATTTTGTACTATGAATACACAATTCTATTTCCCTCGCAGGTTTCCTCGTAGGGGCGTTATGTCAACGCTTTGGATGCCGTCTTGTGATGATAATTGGTGGTGTTATTGGTATGATTTCTACTTTCTTTGCTTCATTCTCAACACAACTCTGGCATCTCCACATTTATAGCACACTCGCAGGTAAATAATCTACAAATTACAAACTCTTGTAATTTATTCAAACGCATCCGTGAGTTCTAAAGCGTAACATTAGGATGTATAACACTCCACTTGGCTTTGAAGTTCCATGCTCCGAGCTGCGCTTCCACTGCGGGGAATTTCGGAGACCAGGCACCGGTTTCAAATTTATTACAACATATTAAATTACCGGGAAAATGTCAGTGTAAATTATAAACTTTATAATGTATTGGCATCAAACGATTTAAAAAAAAAAAATAGTACTCCGCCCTTCCTATAATTTGTGTGCCAGAGTTGGTATAAGAAAAGTTAGATCCTGACAAAAACTCAATATTTTAAGATAATGCGCTAATTCGTGCTTGTTTTATTGTCCCATTATTTAATTCATGAGTTACAATGTTCAATAACTTTAAGTTTGCTAATGCGTGTTTTCGCGTGTTTTTCGTATTTTTGCAGTTGAAAAAATGATGAAATTACACAAATTTGTGTTCGCTTGTTCTACTCGTCACACAATCAACAATTGAGAGGTAATCATTTAGAGGGACAGCGAACAGTTGCCGGGATACTATTTTCTGATGTAGGAATTTTAAATCCTGAATTTTCATGCGCTCTTTTAATATCTCACCACCTTGTCAACAGTTGCAGATTAGCGCATAACTTTTTCGGCGGCTTGGAGCATGGGGTCAAAGGAAAGCGGCGTGATAACACTCCTTTCTTTCACCTTCACGGTGGAGCGTAGGGACAATGCGAACGCCTATAGCGACAAACCGCTAATTGGGGTGGTATTGGAATATCGCTATTGGTCACGGGACGAAGAGACATGTAGACGAGATGCCACAGTCCCAGTAGGAGGAGAAGGCAAGTTAAGTCATGATCATCAAATAAACTTCCCAAAACAACGAGAACAATTAAGGTCCCGAAAAATTAATCAATTTTTTGTATAAGTCTATTCAGGAGCGAATTTGTTGAGTATCCGTATTTCTCTCTAAAAAGAAGTTAATATTGAGAGAAAAATTGTCGTTTTGGGGGTCAGTTTAAAAAAAATGTTTACTGAACGTACAAATTTGAATGAATTCTTCCCTCTTTATTGTATATCACGTCTGAGATAAAGACAATATAAGCCTTAATAATTTGATCTTTGTTCTTGGATTTTTTTATATAGGTGTGTTTTACGGCGCCGCATACTTTCCCAGTGCAATCGTGATACGTTTTTATTTCAAGAAACGGCTTGGATTTGCTAATGGGATAACATATGCTGGTATGGGAGCTGGTTTCTTTGTGATGTCTCCCTTGCTAGAGACACTTTGCTCGGAGTATGGATGGAAAGGTGCATTGATGATTCAGTCTGCTATCAATGCAAATTTCATTGCCCTTGGAGTGATCTTACGACGGACTAACATGGAGCAGACGATCATGATTGCATACAGATCAAAGCCGTTAACAGCCAGTCATCAGGTCTCGGATGCCAATGACTTGTCAAGGGCCGAGTCATTGTGCAAAAGGATCTTACGAAATATCGACGAGACCTTTGCCATCTCTCATCTGGTGAAGAATCCTTTTTTCATTACCTTATGTCTGGTGTCAATCCTATCTTTCGCCAGCCACATATCTGTGCTAATCTATACAGCACCGAAGCTGGTTGTGGACCTTGGCCTCTCAAAGACCACGGCCAGTCTAGTGATGTCGGTATACGGAATCACCAGTCTTCTTGCGAGAGTTTTCCACGGGTTTCTTCTTGATCTTAAATGGATCAGCACCACCAACCTGTACATTTTATCGCTGTTCATAGCGGGGATCCAACCATTGTTCAACCCACTGGTCACCTCGACTGCGGGACAGTTTGCGTTGATAGTCGTCTACGGTATCGGTGCCGGAATCATGATACCCATGACGATGCTAGTCTGTAGAAAGTACGTTGCGATTAGCATTGTTTCCAGTGCCATAGGACTGCTTATAACAGTAGGAGGAGTAGGAAATATTCTTGGCACACAGTTAATGGGTACGTATCATGCTCCTGGGGTGTGTTTCACAAAGACTAAGGTCGACTTCAAGTTGGACTTAACTGTATAGCAGACATTTCATACCACTCGTTGTTGTCACCATCGGTCTCTCAATTATGATATTTAGATTTAAAAAATTACTTCAATAATGAACTATCAAAAAAGGTAAATTATCTAGATATGTGACCACAATTCGTACGTCCCTTGAGAAACCAATGCCAGGAATGGTTAGAAGAACTTGTGGCATGGACAGCCTGCCATAGTTAAGTCCAACTTAAGGTCGATCTTATTCTTTGTGAAACACTCCCCAGGTGAGGTGGTCCGACATTTACTCCTGCGACAATAATTGATCATGGCTTTATTCCGTCAAAGGTATAGGGTCAGGGTCAGGGTTGGGGTTGTGTAGAGGGTTGGGTCCAGGATTGAAGATAGGCATTTTGTTTGTATAAGGAACTTGACACGGAGCACCTGTCTCAGGAGCAAGTTTCCTACAGCCCACTTGGTGATTTATCCCAACCGAACCAACCAGACATCAGCACTAACTAATGACGTCGTGTTCCAATTGGTAACATGATTGCCAATTTCACAGTTTCGTAAGGAAAATTAGCATGCTTAAGTGTAAAGGGTGGATCCATATTTAACATGACTGGAACAACTGGTAAAGAATACACCCACAACAAAACAAAAACAATTTAGAGAGTAGTACTAAAATAGATAAGCATCCTCTTAGCGAAGTATAGTATGATTATGTTCTTGCCCCTTTTTCTCTTACAATTACAGGACAATTGTCTGATGCCACAGGTTCTTATGCAGTTCCGTTTTACGTGAGTGGTTCTTTCTATTGGTTGTCGGCCATAGCAATGGCGTTGATCACCAAGTGTAAACGATTCGAAAGCGGCAATCAGCTTGATATAGCCGAAGCTATTCCGGACGTAGCTGCAACACAGACTGACCTTGATGATATCCCTGAAGACACCTCGAAGGCCACGACCGGTACAGGTTATCATCAAATTCCTGGAGATATACAGGAAGGATCGGATAATTGGGAATCCGCGGTGTAGAGCACATTGTATCATAAGGAGTTATTTTAGTATGTTGTTGTACATGTAGGCCTATATGCTATATACATTTACTACCACAGGACTACATGCTTTTGAAAGACTGACATCGATCTACATTTGCCACACTCAACCCAGGTTATGAAAATGGGAACCTGGCAGGAATTAATTCCTTGAAATGCAAAAGCGCCGCAGTGGCTGCCTTGCTAAAGCCAGGGTAATAATCGGGGCAGCGCCAGGAGCGTCACAACGTGACGGACATGTGCGCTATATAAGAAGCCATCCTTATTATTATCTTTATTATTATTATTATTTTTATTATTATTATTATTATTATTATTATATATATATATATTCTCTGAAATATATTTTCATAACACTTTACTTGGTTAAAGGACCAATATTGACAGTACTCAATTGATCATTGTGCAGTGTTGTAATTATCAGTATTGTTATCGATTTGGGGAAAACATTACTTAGAATATCTCGATTTTAAATAATGACAAGTGTTTCACACATTGATCTTGCTTTGCTCATAATTTGTAATCACGCTGCAAACAGAAAAGTTAACATTCAACCAAAGACAGATAATAGATTTACTTTTATATTATTACATGTGTTGATGAATATCTCTGATCTGTGTAATTGAAAGTATAGGTATTTTCATCGCTATGATATGGCTAATTCAGATCTGAAGTGGTAAGCCGTGGCGTTTTTTTAACACTGTGTACAATGTCTACAAAGAAAGTTGACTTTTCGAGTACATGTAGTAGTTGCGATAATTCAAGTCCCTTTCACATCGGATCTGCCTAGAGTTGCGTAGTGTGGCGTATGAAATTACGCTGCGCATTCATGAAAAAAATGTTGCTTCGGCGTAAGGGTTGCGTAGGTTTGCTTAGGCCTGGCGTAAAGGATCTAGGACGCCTTTATACCCTTTACTGCTTCGTCGGACTGGCGTAGGGTAGCATACCATTGCGTAGGCAAGGCGTAGAGTACGTGTTGCGTAATTATGTGTAGACTTGCTAAAAATGCGTACTTCTGCGTCTAATTTTTACGTTGAAATTACACGAAAATAATTTAAAATGTTTAATTTTTTGCGTCCATCTCGCGTACTCTTTGCGTCACTCAGCGTATATTAATTAAGCCAGCGTAGGGCAACGTACTCTCTGCGTTGGACAGCGTAGACACGGCGTTGTTAGCACGCAACACTACGCAACTCTACGTAAGGCCCGGTGTGAAAGAGGCTTTAGCTTTGATTAACCTATATACATTACAGTTTTTTCTTTTGTAACTCTATAACGGCTACAAGCAACTCAGGATATTTAACTAGATGTGTTTAATCGTATCAATTATATGATCTCTTGTTTCAATCCCCATTTGAAAATAATGTCAAATATTGTCATCGTTTAATGTTATATTTATCTGACAAATTTATTTTCGCCCCACCCCTCCCCCCCCCCCGAAAATAAAAAATTGTGAGTGAAGTGAACTTTAACTCATTTACAGTGCTAATGTCATCATTAAACCTGATCACAGGATACATTAAGGCTTTTAACGCATTACAATATTTCTAGCATCGTGATGAGCGCTGTACAAAGGAAATCGTTTATTTCTGGTTGATCTCTAAGACAACAACAATCGTTAAAATCGGCAACTCACGAGCAGACTACATGTAATATAGGCAACTCGGTGAAAGGTCATTTTAGGTGAGCAAGGCAAATGCGCAACCATAATTTGTACACGGCCCTATTGTATCGAGCATTGAAATCGTGTTCATAAATACGAAATATGCCACAGGAACCTATATTATACAAGCCCTGCGTTTTAATAGGTTCCTCACATTCTACTTTATCTATTATATGAATTGAGAATCATTGACATGTGGTAATTTATACTACAACTGTAATGTATAATTTAGTATATCAAGTTGATATTTTTCTCAAAGTTTTGCGATCGTGTACAAATATCATTTTCTCAGACAAAATTATAGCTGTGCATTTGCCTTGCTCACCCCAAATGACCTTTGACCGAGTTGCCTAGATACGTTTCTAGCTGGCGTAAGGTCATATTTCACATTCACAACCAGTTTAATCTTGATTCTCGAACTTATCGGCCCAGTGCGTGTTGTATATGGGATGTTTGCAGAGCGAAATGTCCCGACACTAGTCATGCTGTACAATTCTATTCAGAAAAGCAGGAGTGTTTGCCGAAATCGTGACCATGTTTACCAATCTACAAATAACCTCTAGCCTACTTTCTAAGCAAAGTTGTTTCCTGTGAGCCTCATAGCAGCACAATACATTCAACGGTTATGCGGTAACGTGACTTGGCGAAATGAACTTGTACAGCTATAAATCACAACGTAGTTTTTCTGTGAACAGGTTTTTGAGCAAAGGAATGCAGATACAGACCATGGTATGAGAGTTATATTTGGTCCCTCGGGCCAAACAAAAAAGGTTTAGTCCAAGAATAATTTGCTGTGAATAAAGCAAAAACATCAAACTAACATATCAAAAATGTTTGAGGAATATGGAACAATTGATAAAAAAGCTAATGCATATTATTTTTTTAATGACATTAAAAACCATGGAAAACAACTGTCAAAATCACTTTACAATTTGGCGACTTGGTTGTGAGTTTGTAAAGTCACTCCCTCATTATGTATATTTATTAGTTGCTTTGTCTGTTTGTTCTTATACCAGTCTTTACCTTTTGTTAATGTTTATCTCGAAGTGCATGTGCCTTTCCATAATCTTTCATGAACTTTAAAAATCTAAGACTATTTACTTCTGAAATAGTTTAAATAAAAACAACTTTTTTCATAATTTTAATAGGAAAAAAAGAAGAGTGGTTTAAGCTACATGGAAATCAGATTCTTTGATAAATTGGAAATTATTTCATATAAACACAACAATTACTGAGGGAATGACTACGCCAGGAATATTTCACATCAACTTCTAGGGCACGACGAGGGTAAACTCGCATCCTTCCTACACATAAAACAGCTAAAATTGAGGATCATTGTTATTTGGGATGGTGGGCAGCTAGTACCATCCTATGGACTTTGGAATGTCTTTCGTGTCTGTTTGTGACCATGTCGTATGTTAGAAAGATAGTGTATGGAGAAAGAGCGAGAGAGAAAAAAGAGAAAAAGAAAGAGAGAGAGAGAGAAAGAGAGAGAGAAAAAAAAGAGAAAAAGAAAGAAAGAGAGAAAGAAAAAAAGAGAAAAAGAGAGAAAGAAGAAAAGAGAGAGGGAAAGAAAGAAAGAAAAGAAAGAGAGAAGAAGAGAAAGTAATAGGGGACAGGGGCTGCGATCCCGGGGGGACGGGGGGGGGGTACACGTCCCCTCTCAATTTTTTCAGGGAGGGGGGATCAGCCCCCCCCCCCCCGAAATTTTGAAAAAGTGCACACACAAAATGTAAAGCAAATAATGACTAAAGACTGCACACACTTTCAGGCTCTGGAGGGCCCAAAAGTGCAGCGTTTCAGAATTGGTTTGGACGGGGGTTTGCCCCTCAAGCCTCGAAACCCCTACCCTTTTTTAAGGGTCATTTTGGGGAATTTTCTTGAAATAAGGCCCATCTTTCATAATTTAAGGGTGTTTTGGGGGTGTTTGCCATGCAAACACCCAAAAATTTGGGAAATTGGGGAAATTTTGAAAAAAACAGACCAATTTTTAATGGTATTTTTGTTAAAAATGGGACCGATGTTTAGGGATTTTTTGTCAAAAAGTGACCCAATAGAGCGGCACACCCCCGTTTGTCTTGTGAGTACCCCTCTCTGAATAATATCCTTCAAAATATAGGATGTGAAGGAATTCCTAAATGCAAATACGATGATACGAATGAATCTTTTGAAAATTGGCAATGAACTGTATGTACTCTGAAACATTTTCCTTATTGGGAACAAGAAGATATCTTTCCCGTAGAAACTTTTCTTGGATATTCTCATCTTTCGAATATTATACAAGATTCTAATTCGAATGAAGATAATAGATACAATATACTTTGTGATTTTCCAAAGGAAAAGGGCATTAAATTAGCACACCTTAACATCAGGTACATTTTTATCCGTCCTTGAAGGGAATATTGAGAAAGTAATGTCATCGTCAAATGATATTGTTGTGCTGGGTGATTTCAACTGTAATATGAGAAATGATAATACATTGTCTAAAAATATTAAGGATATTTGTCGTATTTGTCAGCTTAATCAGTTAATCAATGAGCCTACACGAGTTACACCTCATAGTAGTACACTCATTGATTTAATACTTACCTCGAATTCTATTGCTAACTTGAGGTCCGGTGAATTGCCCATTGGTTTTAGCGATCACTGTTTAATATTTTAGTAGTAAAAGGCAAAAATCCAATGCTTCATTCAAAAATATATGTAAATTTAGATCTTTTCGGAATTTTAACGAAAGTGAATTTCAAGAAGACTTGAGAAATCAAAATTGGGCTGAGTTTAATGAAGAAAATGTTAGAGTTGATAAAATGTGGTCTAATATCAAATCTGTGTTCACAATATGAAGTGATAAACATGCACCTTTTATTTCTGTCAGAAGAAAACGAAATGGGGTGCCTTGGATTACAGATGAATATATTATTTTGGCACGTGACCTTGATTACTATAAGAAAAGGTATAACAAGACAAAGTGTGATTGTTGCTGGGAAAAGTTCAAGTTTTATAGAAACAAAGCAAATAACCTAAACAAAAACCTTGAAAGAGCGTATTACCAAAATGAGTTCTTAGAAAGCGGAAATGATTTGAGCAAAAATTTGAAAGTTTTGAAAAAACTCTTGCCTTCAAGGCAAAAGGAGGTAAGCAACACAATCTTAATTGATGATGAAATAATAACTAACAAAGTAAAGGTGGCAGGTTTATTGAATGAAACTTTTAATAATGTGAGTTCAAATCTACAAACTAGTACATGTTCTAGCATTGTAGATGATAATTTCAATTCTTTACAAAGTTATCTCAAACCAATTTTTCTTTCGAATTTCAAGAAATAAAATCAGAATTTGTTAGAAATGAACTACGCAATATTGATTGTAAAAAGGCTATAGGAATGGATGGTCTACATCCCAAGTTACTAAAATTATCTGCAGATATCATTGCAAAACCACTGACTATATTATTGAACCAA